AGAACAGCAGTAGCGAGGATTTAAAATTACAGCCTTTTGATACTCTTTTCTAAGTGATACTTGTTTGAATAATTAATTTTAATAAGTCTATTTCATCATTTTAAAGACATGTTAAATTTTAAAATCTGCATACTGATACCCAAGCAAGTATCCTACTGCTGTATGGCTTCTCACTGGGCTGATAATGAGAGAAACATTGATTGACAGTTGCATCTGAAGGCAGGAAGATGTTTTAATTGTTAGGCTTTTAGATGGAAAAGAAATTATCAAAATTAAATGAAGAAGAATTGTTGCAAGTGGGTTTCTTTAGAAAATTGCTGGAAAAAATAGGATTGGAAATACCTTATATTCACTTAATTCACTAAGGGAATTTGCTGTTTAGTTTGCAGAAAATTCAAAAATTGTGTTGTATCATGTTCATCAGCTAGTGATTAAAGCTGGTGATTCAGTCCTTTTTGTAAAGTAAGATAGAACCCAGATTTTGATCTTGAGAATGATTTCTACTTCTAGAGAATACAGGATATTAACACAGTGATAATGCTGAATATTGTCAGATGATCTTGCTTATTTTTTAGTGCTGTGCAGTGATTACTTAAACATTATGGAATCTACATGAAAGTCACTGGAAAATTTGGAGACAGTTTCAGTATTAGTATAAACCCCTAGGAAGTTGCTCCTGCCTGTGCAGTGATGTACTGAGCTGAATTGCTGGGCTCTCCTTCTCTTTACAGGGAGAAGAAGCTGATGATGATGACATATACAATGTGCTCTCCACACTGAAGAGGTTGACATCTTTTCACAAGTAGGTGGTGTCTTCCCTCACAAATTTGTGATGTGAATTTTATCCTTTCAGCGAGTATCAGCAGTGTCAGGTGTGGGGAAATGAGGAAACACATGGCCTGAAATCTGAAGTGGAGATGGAGGAATGACTGGTGGTGTTTGCCAATAGAACTGTTTGGGTTGATCTGAGTCCTTGCTCAGTTCATGCCATGACCTTTGCAGATGGGATTTGCAAGTGGCACCCCCTCTCTTGCCCCCAGTGCTCTTACACCCATGAGTAAGTTACTACAGGTCCTGCTCCCCTGCATGGCACAGTCAGGGCACAAGGGACACTTCTCTGCCACAAACCTGTGCTGCTTGGGAGAGCCTGCAGGAAGCTATTTCTCAATGCCTTTTAGCTATTTCTCAAAATTATAGAACTAATTAGTAATAGCAATAATAATAATAATTAGTAGTTTATGGTGAGAGCCTAGAAGATGCATTTTCTTCCTGCAGTTGAATTGTTGGCCAAATTTCCCTGTGTGGATTGCACAGAATCTCCCTCACCAGGCACGAACCAGCTTTTCAGGTTCGTGCTGCTCTCAGGCCTAAGGGCATCCTCAGCACATGCAGAGCAACCTGGAGAACTTCACTGGAACTGTGAATTCTGGAGCACAGCACAAAGGGCCTGATCTTCCCTCTAGCTGCAGGAAGCATTTGCTCCTGGTCAGCATGAGAGAAAGCTTCACGTGCAGGTGGCAGAGAGCCACAAATCATTTCTTCCTTATCACAATGTGGGAGAGAACTTTCCTTCTGCCAGCTCTTTTATACAACTTGATTTTTTTACAACTTTATGATTTCATTTCTCTCTCTGTGCTTAGACTTCACTTATCCTGAGTCCTGCATTAGATCACTGTCTGAAATGGTTCTGCAGTCTCTACTCTTTGTTGCCATTCAAGGAGAATCCCACAAAGATCATGAAATTGTTACTAATTTCCATAGTGCAGCAGGCTGACACTTTCAACTCAGGTTTGCAGTCTCCCTGGTAACACACTGGAGCCACGTCTGCCTTTGCCAAGGGAACTTGGGGAAAACTCTACTTCACATCCAGGAGAGAAGCACAAATCTTAAGGCTTTCCTGAGTGACTTCCATATGTATTTTTTCCTTCAGAGTTCTGGGTCTCTAGAGTTAATTCAGACCATAAAGAAGCCTTGTAGAATAACACACAAATAAGGGTCAGGGACATCTACTTTCACATTCAAAGAGCCAGGAAAGAGCAAAGGATCAGAGCTGAAGACCTGTAAAACAGTTAATGTATCATTCCTCAGCTGATTGGTTATTTACAACTGTAGTTCAATAGGAATTCCTAATATCAGCTTGCATATAAGGAAGTAATGAGATCTTCATTACTGTCATGAACATTCCGTGGGATGTGATCTCTCTGTGATAGGAACCAGTTACACCATGTGAGCCAGAACTTCTGCTGAACCTTTAGCTATGAGAGAGGATCTTCTGTTCAAAATGCCTGTGGAGTGTTCTGTCTCAAAGCACAGTGGCTGTGGTCTGACTCTGTCACTCTTGTCACCTGGGAGTCAAAAGAAAAGAAATCAGATCTCCTGAAGAGGCACTGATGAAATGGTTGCTGGGGCTTTGGGGAAAAACAAGTCCCTGTCTTCTTCCAGTGAGAGAAACTCCAATGTACATTGTCCATGCTTGCTAGCCCTTGGTAATTGCTGCTGCTTCATACTTGAAGAAAAAAACAAGGTGGAAAATACATGGTAAGGCAAGATGAGAAAAGCCTTCCAGACCAAAAGGCTTCCATACTGGGATTTCCCAAGCTGAGCTAATCCTCTTTCTGAGAGGGCCATGACAGCAAAGGGCTCACAGCACACTTTTTGATTCATCAAAACAACAATGTCATGTGTCAATACAAATTAAATTAATCACCACAAAGTTTCCTTCAACATTTTCAGAATACAATAATAAATTTTCTTGAGATCTTCTGAGTAGACTTCCTGGAGTATCCACTTGGGTTATTTTTTGCCAGAATCTCACACATACTCATAACATTTAAGTACATGGAGGCAATTTTTTCTATATTGACTCCATTGTAATTCAGTTGAACACACATTAGTGCTGTAGCAGTTTGTATGCTGCAAAATCTCAGCATCTTTTACTTACTTGAGTAAATCCAATGCAAGACACATTCCAAGCATCCCCTCTGTTCCCCTGGATGTGCCTGTTGGTTCTGCCTTGCATGGAGGACATTGTTTCTCATTTAGAAACCAGGAGCATTGCCATTACTGTCCAGTAATCCTCAGATACAACATTTGCTTCCTTCCCACCTCCACACTGACTTCACAAACTCACAGGGACTAATGGTAACTCTCAGATAAAAACAATGTGTGTCAGGGTCAGTGTGATCAGTCAGGACACTTCCTAGACAGGCAAGTTTATGGTCACATCATCACATCATCTCTTCCTCTTACAGAAACTCTTTGCTGAACATGTTTTCCCAGTAGTCGACCAGTGCATTCCTCAGACTGAGTTACTCAGAAGTTTGTTATATCCAGAAGTAGAAATGATGATAAATGAAACCTCATTAGAGAAATGAGACTGTATCAGCAGCAGAGCTGGTCAAAGCCCAAGGCACAGCTTCCCCTCTCTTTGTGCATCTTGAAGAACTGAAGCAGTTTGGTGGGTGGAAAGGTCACTTCTTGGAAAATAAACTTTTCTAAGCTGTTTTATGCCACACTTTGAGAAATACTGTGAAACTGGTACCTTTACCTCACCTGCCTCTTGTCTGGCAGAAATGTGCAGACAGGGCTGTCCATGAGAATTAAAATAAACCTTGGTATGAAATACTAGGACTTATTGTCTGTGATCCATGAAGAGTCTGACATGGAAGGAGCTAAGGGAAAATTCTGTGTTGTGTGAATTTTCTTCTCTCTGTCAGTCTGAACCTCTGTGAAGAATTGTGTGGTGTCCAAGATGCCTTTATAACTATGGTTTTGATGGTTAAGTAGCTCAAAAGAGATAAAGAGGTACCAGAATATTCCTAACTGTAATGCAGAGGCTCTGCTTTAAGAAAGTTTCAATTGAAAAGCCATGTGTAAATTGTACATAGTTAGAATTTTTCAGCTCTGGAAGCTGAAGATCCCTTCCTGAGCTCAGCTGTAAGACCAGGCTGAGGGCAGGGAGCTGAGTGTCCCCAGCTGTGGGGACATGGCCCCTGATGAGGAATTTCTGAACTGAAAAGACAGGAATGAGGCAGTTTTTCCTTTCATATTCTCTGTAGGATAATCTGTGTGAGTATCTGCCTCTGCACACCAAGGAGACTTTACTGCTTTAATTACAGTGCAGTAATTAAGGAGGTACCACTCTGCCTTGCTGGCAGCCCTGTGATTTATGGAAGCAGCATCTCTAGGCTTAATATCACCAGTCAGAGGCAGCTCTCTGGCAGCCTCTAATTTATCTAGGAAACATTTTATTTTAGTCCTCAAAGACCATCTCAGTCTGTTAAATATTTTTACTTTTTACATTTTTAATTCCAACATTTTATTTAAGTTTTCTTCTATTCATGAATTTGAACTGGAAGCTCAGGTGCACCTTGGCTTTAATGGCACAGCCCTGGAGTGTACAGTGCACTCTGATGGTTGTGTTTTCTGTAAAGCTCTTACCAGTGACATTTTCCAGGACTAACACACTCCAGGATGGGAGGTGTTTCATGGCAGGGCTTCCAACAGGACCTGGGTATTCCCAGTCCTGAGTTCAGCCTCTGTCCCTATAGGAACTAGAGAGTTATTCCTTCTGGCTGAGCAGGGCAGTAATGGTTTAAGCCAGGGCAGGCACAGCAGTGGGAGAGTGAGCTTGGCTGGGTGATCCAGGTGCTGGGATGAGTCAGATGCAAGAGGCTGCTGCATCCAGTTGAGACTCCCAAATCAGTCTCAGTATCCCTTCTTCCAAGCTTAGTATTTCAGTCAGCAAGTTTCTGATTATTCCGAGCTGCCTTGCTCTTTTATAGATGTATTATAAACTGTTTCAAATTATCTCAGTTTATTCCCACTGCAGAAAAAAAAGTTTTAAACTTAAATTTACTTGATGAGAGAGTATTTTTGTCTTCAGGCAACCTGATGTTTTCAGTTTCTTCTTTATTTCTCATTTCTCTATTAAAAAACTGTTTCATGAGCTCTTGAGGTCTGTAAGGCTGTAGAGTATTTGTTCCTAATGTCATTGTCATTTCTCTCACTGATGAAATCAGGTTGGTGCAGCTGAAGGGTGGAACAGTGAGTGGGATGGTGGCTGCCATCTCTATCTCATGTCCATGTGTTGTTATATCATCTCACTTCAGATATTCAGGATATTTAATATCTAGTGGTAATAAGACAGTAGAAAAACATATAAGTTTATTTTGTTTAAAGCCATTTTTATTCAGTAGGTATTGATGGAGTTTGGCTGTAGTTTTTGCTGCAATGCCAGGGAAGAGTTTTCTGGAGTTCTGTCAATGTTTCCAAAAGAAGAAAGATAACTTAGAGAGAGAAGCAGCAGCTACACTTCAGTAGCTTTGATAGGTGTATGGTATGAAGAGAGTTTATCTTCTCCCTACAAAAATCCCATGTAATCAAACATTTCTTCTGGATTATCAGAAAGCCTGACTTGTGCCTTTAGCATGGAGTGAGCTGCTGTGCAGCTGCTTGGTGAGCTGTAGAAACCACCAAAGCTCTCTGGGCTGGGGGTTCTGGGAACACAATTAATCTCTCTTTATTTCCTCTCCTTCCAGCGCTCATGATCTCACCAAATGGGATCTGTTCAGTAACTGCTACAGATTGCTGAGAACTGGAATTGAACACGGAGCTATGCCTGAACAGGTACCCTTAACAGCACCTGCACTGCATCACTTGGGTGTCCGAGCTTCTAAAGAGTCTGCTTGTACAGAAATTCAAAAGTTCAGTGCACTTCAGTGATGTAGGAAAAACAGAGTTTGGAATGAAATTTATAGTGGAGACAAGAGGTGTTATGTCTAAGAGGTGGAAAACCTTGGATTCTGTGATTTTTGAGCTCCTTCCCTCACCTATCTCATCACTAAAATTGAGAACAGCTAATGTTGCTGACTCTGAAAAGCAGTACATCAATCCTGAAACCCAACATTGTAAGCCTTGGCTGTAATTAGAATTATCACAAATGGTTATTGTGTATTGAAGGTAAGATGAAAACTTATGAAAACCAGGAAACTAGAACATCCTAGAGGCGTTCTTTTAGTGACACATAACTGACTTTGTTCCCTCAGAGTTCAGTTTTTGTTTCTCATGGATGAGCACAGGAACCATCTCTTATTCTCTCATGACTCCTGTTTAAACTGCAGAATTCCTACTTCAGAATTTAAGCACATTTTAAGTTTTGATTTGGTTTCAGTTAGAAGTCAGTTGTTAATTCTAATTCAGCTTCATTTAGAAAAAAGAAATTCTCATTAAATTCTGAATAAGAATTCTGTAGAAAGAACCCTAAGAGGAGGCATTGTCACATCACACAGTGTGACAGTGAAAGTCCTCTCTCTGCACTTGCTGCTTCATGCTGGAGTTGTGCTACCTGGAGGGACATTGCTGGCAGATGAAACCTGTCCTTGCAGCTGCCAGCCATCCTCAGTTTCTGGGTCTGACAGTGTGTGTGGCTCTCCAAATGCCTCCATAAGATCTCAGGGGGAAGGTCCTGAAATCTGAGCTCTGTTGAGTATTTCTGCCTGCAGGTCACCCTGAGAAGTTTGGCACTTGTAGCACCTAATCTGGATTTAACTGTTCAAGAGACACCATGGATGCTTTTCTGGGCACCATGGATATGACTCTGGTCTTCTTCATGGGACAAGTTGTATTTTCTCCCTTTTTATAGCAATTGGGCTACATGTTCATTTGACAGTGGAACAGATTTCCAGGCTGTTTGATAATGAAACCAGATTTAGAGCTATTTAAACAGATGCTTTTGAGCTGAGAGATGTAGGTGTTGGGTTGTACTTCTGTCACACTGTGGCATCCTCTCTTGCTGTGCCTCAGTGCAAAGTTTTCTGCTGTTCCCCAGCATTTACACAGTATTTTTTTACCTCTAGTAGGCTGATTTCTTATTGCACCAAACCAACCAAGGAAAAACATGATACCATTGAAAAGAGAAAGAGCTGAGAGCTGCTCCTGTCTTTTCACCACAAAATGCACGATAGATTTTCCATACACTTCCTGCTGTGCCTGCTGTTAGCAGCGTGCTGAGATTCTGTGTGTTCCTGTGTTACAGATCGTTGTCCAGGCACTGCAGTGTTCCCACTACTCTATTCTCTGGCAGCTGGTGAAAATCACTGAGGGCTCCCCTTCCAAAGTAAGTGGCCATTTGATCATATAGATTTTACTGACAGAACACAACTTACCTAGAAAGGTGTTACACCTGATTTCTCTGTAACTTCCATTCTTGCCATCATTTGTTGTCATTTATAACCCATAAAATGTTCATGTTCAGATTTCTTCCATGTTTCAGGATCTGGTTAACATCATGTATATGTCTAAGCAATGCAAACAGTCTTTATCAGGATTTTATAGCAGCTGATTATTATATTTTTATTGCTGAGGATAATTAACACACTTTATTGTGAGTACTGCAGTTTGCATGGCTGATAAGGAATGTTGACATGAACAGTTGTGAGCAATATTGTTGATCTGTAAACCACAGATAGCTTAATCTTGATGTGTGGTTACCTTGCTTATTCTCTAATTACACCCTTTGTGTTGCAGTAGAAATGGCAGGGCACTGGCAGTAATGATTGCTAATAAAAAGCAAATGCATACAAAGTATGAAGCAGTCAGGACAATGTGGCATGTGACTTTTCCAGGACCTTTCCTTAGCTCTTTCCTCAGTCAGAGGCCAGCATCCTGTTTTTCAGAGCTTTTTCAAAAGTAATACATCAAATTAAAAATTGAAAAACTGAAGTAATAATTGTATTTCCCCATTAGCATCAAAAAGAAAAAGATATTATACCGAAGTGCTACTCAAACAAGCATTTTATGCATAAAAAAGTGATAAAAATACACAGTAAATTCTCTGAGTTGTTTTGAATACTGACATTAACATTTAAAAACAGCTACTAGAAAAAAGGAATAATTTTTATTCTTTATTCTGGGCTTTTGTTCCCACTTCCCTCTCTTAGACTCCTTCTCATTAGCATGCTGGTAGTGTACAATACTGCATCTTGGAACTCAGAAAACTGAAACCATCCCATTTGTTTTAAATGAACACAGAATGTGCTCACAGGAAAGCATCTCAAGTCCTCTACTGGCAGCACTGTTCTCCTCAGGGAGGGATGTCCCTGTGACAGGAGAGGCTGAGTTGCTGAGAGGAGATGCAGGGGGCTGTGCATTGCTGCACCCTCAGTGCAGGAACACCAGTGCTGGCACCAATCTCATTGCAGCCGTCCCTGGGGAGGAGAGCTGGGCTGCAGGGGCCCTGTGCCACCGAGTGCTCAGCACCTGGCCACTGTCTGCAGCCCCTTCGTTCAGTCTGCCCCACCTGCTCTGGGCTGCTGGCTGTGCTGGGCTCCCACCCACTGCTGAGGATCCTGCAGCCCTGTCCTCCTGCCTGCTGGGCTCGGCCTTGCCTTGCCCCGGGGCAAATGCTCAGATATAAACGAGCTTTTGGAAAATGCTCATCACCCGTCACTGCATTTCTCCATTTTTTTGAAGTACAATAAGTTGCTGCAATGTAGCACAGGTGGTGCAGGGATAGCTGTCAGCATTGCTGGAAAAAAGCTTCATGTTTTCTTGTGTCTCAGTTACAGCTGGAGATTAACATACAGCCTCTCTGCATGGAGCATGTTATAAACTGCATTTTGGTGCCCAGGCATTCGTGTCGCTGCTATTACAACATGACCATGATGGCCCAGTTCAACTGAAAGAGAAAAAGACCTTTCTTTATTTCAGTGGCTGAGATTTTCTTATAGACAAGCTTAGGGCACCTGTATGCTTTGCCTACTTTTTCAAAATAGGAGGCATTTGTATGAGATGTTGTTTTATGAGGTGATTGCAGAATAGCTTTGATCTCTCCTGTATTTCTAATCCTGTTGTGATTCATAACATAGTTACAACATAATGTAGTTCATAGGAGTGAAAGGAAAAGACCTCCAAGGGATCACTCCAGAATGGCCATGACAAATAAAAGTCAGTTTGGCTTTGCCCCATGACTGTCACCTAAAGAACTCTTAGCAATTTGTTGTTTGGATTTCCACTCCAGCCTCTACAAAATACTGAGTTTTGTGCATGCTTTGTTCCAGGGAAGCCCTGCATTAGTGCCCTGCAGCTCCTCAGAGTGGCAGCAGCCTCAGCTGAGGGTAGAGAGACAACCACAGACCTGCTGAGGCTGGAGCATTTTGCTATCAAACTTTCCACTCTAGTTTGCTCACTGTGAAAATAGATCTGAACTGCACTGTATCTGGCATTTCATCCATTGGGATGATTCATCCATAGCTGGTTTATAAGTCATTATTTAGGCTTGGAAATTGGTAGCCATTAAAGGGCATCACTAGTAAGGTGTAGGTAGACAAAGGCATTAACACAAGCATCTCAGAATGAAAAGCAGTGTATTTCATGGGTATTTCTGAAGTACTCAGGCTTTTACAGGAACATTTCAGGCACAGCAGTTTAATATGTAGGTCCATGCAGGTTTCTAGGGCTGCTTTGCTGTATCTGTAATGATCTCAGGACAGAGTGGGGTGATGGTGTGTACCTTCACATGGGCATCTTTAGTAGACCAATGGATATGGCTGCAAAAAGCAGAGAGGCTTTTGGACTCACAGGCCTTTTCAGGTTTGAGGTAAAAGCAGAAGATTACAAAGCAAAAGACAAGCTGAAAGCAATTGCTTGGTTTCTATTTAGATATAAATCAGGTAAACTCTGACAGGGAAGGTAAAGGTCATTTGTACCTATAGAGGAGGGGTGAGAGTAGGGAAAGGAGAGGTAGTAAGAAAGTTAGGAGGAGAATTAGTGGGAAAGGAAGGAACACAAAAGATGAAAATGGAGAGAAGAGAATTTATAATATGTCATAAAACTAATCTTAAGTCTTTGTTTTTCTGTATCCCATAGATTTAGGAATTTTTGTTCCCAGGCTCATATATCAAAGATGATTTTTTAGCTTTCCCTTGAACAACCAGGCTGAGAGATCAGCAATGGAGGGATTGATTTGTAAGAAATGTTCACCTGCTGCCAGCTGGGTCATTTGTGTGACTTCATGCTGGCAGTAGTAGCTGCTCTGTTTCACCTCGTGAGGTCCCATTGAGGTAGTCAATGCACAGCATGAAGTATGTGAACATTTTGGACTTGTAAGTACAGGAATAAAAGATGGAAACAAGTACAAACATCTTGATAAGTTTTACATTTGTTGTTCACATGTGCTTTGCATCCATCAGGTGTACCTTTTATTGCAGGTGGGATGGGGAATTGGGGTAAGGTTTCCTTCAAAGTGAATTCTTTGGCTACAGTTCAGAATTGCTTGGTAATTTTTGTATCTTGTATTGATTCTGTGGTGTAGTCATACTTGACCACCATAGGCATACACTGTGAACAGAGTTGTTTTGGAATGAAGTTATTTTTTGTCTGGTGTTCAGATGGCTCTTCAAAAATACAGCTCTGTCCTGAGAGAACTGCCCTTGTTTGGGAGCTGTCCTGGGAATTATGCCCAAGCCAGGGCACATTAATTCCTGTATGAGGGGATACCTCATTTTACAGCTCTTGGGCATGTTCTGGATCATGGCTCCCTACCTGATCCAGGTGTTTTGGACTGGAGCCTCCCATGTGTGTGGCAGGGAAAAGCTCAACTCTTGTGGTTTAAATCTAATTAGGATCAAGTCAGCTAATTAATTTTTTAACAGCACATAATTGACCTACAGCCAGTGCAACACATCTCCAGGATAACTATCAGCTGTACAGAATATTGGACACTTCTGCAATGTTAATGAACACCTACAAATTCCAAACTTGCCCTTCAGCTGGTCACAGCTTACTGAAGTCCCCTCCCCAAGACACACACCAGGAGCTCTTGTTTCTCCAGGCTCTTAGCAGGGGGTGCTCTGCAGGTTGCCCCTGACTGTTCAATATCATTTGTAAATAGAGCCTAAGGGAGTGTCTGGTTTAATAAGCATAAAAACATATCAAAGATGTTTTAGCAGAAGGGTGATAATTAATGATTATTTGAATTATTGAGAAAGTTCAAATTCTCTGCCCAATAACAAAGATCTCACCAGTTAAATACAGCAGACAGTTGGGGCAGAGTTATTTTGAAACCCTTCTTCAAGCTAGGCTGTGGAGAGAAGGGTATCCTATGGAGCCATCTTGGTGTCAAAAACTGAAAGGAAAAATTGATTACTGAAAGGAAGGCTGCAGCAGGTAAGAATGAAATGTGTAAGCCTTGAAATATCCACGGTGTGATGTTTTTCTAACCTTTGGTCTCTCTCTGTCCATATTCAGTGGAGGCTGAGGCTGTGAGGGCTGTTTGTGCAAACTGGTGCTCTTTTGGGGTACTGGGAGGAAAAAACTTATCTTCCATAGCTTGTGGGAGCAGCCTGTTGTAGCCTGGAGGAAAACTCCTCCTCAGGTGGAAAGGGGTTTGAGGGTGGTTCCAAAGGAAATTGGTAATTTCTCCCCTGGAGTCCTCTGATCTGTCAGTCTGGAGGAGCAAACAGTCCAGAGGCAGGAGACTTGGGGATTAGAGCACACACTTGCTTCTACCTGGATTTCTTCAGCCATGTCCCAGGTACCCAGAACATTGTGCACTGTATATATATATATATATATATATATATATATATATATGTACTGAGAAGACAGTATTTGCAGAAAAATAAGAGTCCTAAAACTTAGAACAGTAAAAATAAAGCATGACCAGAGCAAACATTGAGAGGCAAGACAGGGGTCAGCCAGCTGGTAAGTAAGCAGCAGCCAGAGAACAATGTGGTGATTTGGTGACTTTTCATATTTATATGGGCATGATGACAGAAGGCACAAAAAGGTGAAGGGAAGAAAAATGTCACAAGGTGCAAAAGGCTGGACTATTTTCCAGTCAGGTTGGAAGCTGAGGGTTCTTCAACACTGTGAAGTTGAAGTTAATACTCCAAATATTAAGTACTTCAGAGGAAAAGCAATGAGCACATAGGGAGAAGAGGATGGGGTTTGGGAGATGAGCATAGCAAAAGCAAAGCATTTTAAAATTTACTTCAGTGGAAAAAAACCAAGCTTTAATTTAAAGCTAGAAAGTACCTGAGGAGTTGTAGACATGGGTCTTTTGAGCACCCTGGTTTGGGTTTGGGTGGTGGCACAGACTCCAGTCCTTGCTCTCAGCAGCTCATTCTTGTTCCTGCCATGGAGCAGTTAAATTGCAGAGTTGTGACCCCGTGGTTTTGTTTAACAGCCAACAGGATGATAAAATGGTTTCATATCAGCCTTTCTGCTGAAGGCAGATCAGGTATTCACACCTCAAGAGTGTGGGCTGTGCACCCCCAAATGCTCAAAGACTTGGAAGTCAAATTATTTTTTTACTTCCCATTTTCTCTGTTGAAAAATTCCCCACTTTCAGTAGTCTGGGGATTTCTCCAAGCTCAAAAGAATTCCAGATGGCTCCATTGCACTGTTCAGTTGGGCTTTCTCCTGCTGTCTTTTCAGTATGAATCTCTATCATGCTCTGCTGTCAGAGAGAGGGTAATAAATCCTGTGTACCTGCTGTTAGTCACTTTGACAGAAAGAAAAATGGGAGACACATGCATTCCCTTTTTAACTGTATGTAGGTTTTTTCATGGGTTTTAGTTTCTGTGTTGAATTCATGAACATCTCAATGGAAGGTAATTGCAATGGAAAGTAGAAAGCATGACAGTGATTGTAATCCCAGTGCTTAAAGGGTTAAATCAGATGATAATGGAACAGTGAACTGGTAAATCTGGCATCAGTCCTGGGTAGAATCTTGAAGTGAGAGATAGAAAACACAGTTGGTACAAGGCTGAAGGGCTGACAGCTAAGATTGGAAGAAACACATCAATTTCTTATTGACAAGATTGCATTTTTGACTGAGAAGAAAACCAGTTGAAACATCAGTGTCTCTAAGACATTAACACCATACTGCATTTCAGGTCCATGTTTGGATTTAATGTAATTCATATTCTATACCTCAAAACTGATCCATGTATTAAAGAAAAATTGTAGGTGAGCTATCCTTGCACAATGGAATAGTTTCTGATGCATTCTGGGAGAGATCTGTTCTCTTTTGAAAAAAGGGTCATTTTTATCAGTCACCTGGGAAGGCCCTGAAAATGGGGATGATATAAATCAATTGATGAACAAAACACAATTGAAATTTTTTAAAATGAGGCATCTTAATGCTGCCAAATGGAAGCCTTATATCCAGGGAAAAAAAAAAGGGTGATTAATGGCAAGTTGTGGATTAGAACAGAGCAGAGCTGTCTTACAGATCCTGTAATGGCAGGGTAATACCATGGCTGCATCATCAGAGAAAAACTGCTCAGGAATAGGAAGGTGAGGGAGTGCACAGACCTTTAGTGTCTGTATAAGCAAATCCCACTCAGTGCTTTGGAAGTGATGAGGATTCAGAGCTTTGGGAGCACTCAGGGTGCTTGGGCACTCTGGCAGTCCTGTCCTGTGCTGTGAACCAGCACAGGGAGAACATGGAGCACAAAAAGACTCTGCAGAAACACAGAACAACGAGAGCTCATGGCAGGAAGCATAAAAAAGCTAAAACATGGCCTGAACAACCACCATGAGTAAAACATTTCAGCAAGGAAAACATTGCATGTGCATTATGTAGGTGCTTCACATTTGCATGGAGGCTGTTCTGCAGGACATTGTCTCTCCCATGTGGAAGCTGACAGGGCTGTCCTGGGGGAAGGTCTGCAGAGCATGGGCCAGATATCCTGCTGTGAATTCATCTCATTTCATTTCATTTGGAGTTCTTGTTTTCTTCTCAGTGATTGGTTCATCATCACTGTAACACCAAAGGACTGTTTCTGTGTGTGTTGTCTTTGAATAGTTTATTTCTTTCACAGATTGTTGTTGAATGTATGAAATCATCACCATTTCTTTATTTTGCTTCCACCAAGAAACCTCTTACTAATTTCCATATACTTTCTTTTTTAATGTTTATTCCAGGAGGACTTGTTGGTATTGAGGAAAACTGTGAAATCCTTCCTGGCTGTCTGCCAGCAGTGTCTATCAAATGTCAACACTCCAGTCAAAGAACAGGTAAAGCAAATGTCTGTCACGCTCTTAGAAAAGTGTGAGTGTTAAATTCTAGTAAAACTCAAGACAACACTACATCAAACTCCAAGTAAAATCATCTGTGCTCCTGTCTAAATAAACCTGAACAAACAGCCCAGAGGAGCAGCTGTATTAACAGAACTTCCAAATCACAGCTCATGACAAATTAACTTTTAATTAACAGTAAGGAAAGATTACCTGGATGCTCAGGCTCATTTCCAGCCCTCAGGACTTCAGGCATCCAACTCAGTCACCTCAGATGAAAGACTCTTCCTGCAGACTTTGGATTAAAAGATGGAAATAGGCACTTTTGGAGGGTAACAGAGACCTCAAATGAGCTGAATCTTTTTGGATTTTTTTCCATTGAATCAAAGGGTTTGTTGAAATAATTAAGTCTGTCTCTGCAGGACACAGTAGCTGGTATGTTAACTGAGGTTATGTAAATATATATTGATTTATGGCAATGACATTTTATTTGTCTACAAATACCATTTCTATCAGACCTCCCGAGATTTTGCAGAGAGTATGACTAATAACTGGCCTGTGATTTTTGCCTGTGGTATTTAAAAGATAATACTTCTTAAAAGACACTTATTTCTTTGAAAAATAGGTCTGCTTGCCATTTACTCTCTGTTTTTTAGGTTGCTAAATATAAACATTAGATGCTCAGAGATGTCAGTAGTTTATGTATTTCTAAAAGAGGTGTGTCATTGGCTTCCAGCAGATTTTACTTTGGTAATTGTTTTTTAATATTCAGAGTAGTTACTCTTGGCATATTATATTAATTTTGTGTAATGTGAAAATATCTTCTAGCTCTATGCCTCCCTTGCAGCTTGAGCTGAGCCTGACGTCCTTCCTGCCTCAGCAAATGGCAAATGTTCCTTCCCATTCCTGCACTGGGTTTATTCTTGAGGTCTATTAACATGGGGTTGTTCTCTTCTTACCAGTGGCCACAATGGTTTTTTCATTGATAATTTCAGCTTTTTTTAGAAGCTCCTTTGCAGTTCCCAGTTTTGGGGAAGTTTTCAAACCTTTGGGCCAGACAAACCCCCACCTGAGCAGGCCCAGTGAGAGCGAGTGTCCTGGGCAGAGTGGGCTGGACTGGAGACTCCAGGGACCCCTTCCAGCCAACTCTTCCATGATTTACTCTTGTTTTCTTCCTTAAAAAGTATATTTCTGTGAGTGCAGGACTGCTACTTACTCCTTTTGTTTTACTGGATTTTTTTTGAGAATTATGTGCAAATTCTAATGTCCCCCTACCATACTTGATCCTTACTCCAGATATTCTTTCCAGACAAAGTTGATGTCCATATCAAAGGAAGGAAAAATGTATGAAGTATTTAGAGAAACAAGACTGAAACATTTCAACTTTTCCATGAGTGCTTGAGAGAAATAAATATCCTGTGACTGAGCCCACTGCTGCCTTTATATTGGACAGAACTCAGCACCAGCAGTGCATTACTCATCTGCTCTTTTTTAGAGGTCTCCATTAGGAAGAGCTTCAGTTCTATTGAGTATCAAGGGAGTTTAGAGCAGGTGAGATCATCACTGGAATGAATCACAGCCTTTTGAATCAAGGGGAGAAAAATCCCAAATAGCAACATCTGTTTCTAAGGTCTCAACAGAAGATAGTTTAAAATGATTTGCATCTGTTCTTGCCTGAGTGTAGCTCATTCAGATTTTATAGCATACTCCCAGAAATAAGGGAGCCAGTAGGAAGTTCAGCATTTACAGATTTTATTTTGGAAATTTGTAAAGTTTTCAGAACCTGAGGTTAAAAATAGAGAAGCTATGAATAAAAAGGCCTCTGAAAGGCACTGTATGTGATCAAATGCAGACAGCTGACTGTGAGACCCCAACAAAAGCCATTTGGGGACAAAACAGTGTTACTGCCATGCAGGAATGAGCCTTGGAAGAAAGGAAGGTAGTGACAGCTGCCTTCTTTCCTGTTTGTCTGTAATTTTGAGGTCTGACAATGGCTCAGCATGAATTTCCCTTAATGTTGTTCATGTTTTAACTTGTTTGATTTTTTTGATTGTTTATCAAAAGAGGTGTGTTCTCTTTACTACAAATTTGGCTGCAGGCCTTGGATCAGAGGTAGATTTAGAGTTGTTTGTGTAGAGAAGTAATGGGAGTTTAATATTGGTCATCTGGGACAGGGAGAAGGTAATAACCACAATTCCTGACCTAGGAACCAAAGGCACAGCATTCCAAATTAGAGGAAACCATTATGGAATACTTTTCACTGCACATAAACACCTGAGAGCAGTTTAAGAAGCTGTTTAATAATAGTAGGGCATATCTGGAAATTAGATCAATAGTATTTTATGTTTTACTTACTTGACTTTTCACTGCATTCATTCTTTTTTGCCTTTCAGGCTTTCATGCTGCTCTGTGATCTCCTGATGATTTTTAGTCACCAGCTGATGACGGGAGGTCGGGAAGGGCTCCAGCCTTTGGTGTTCAATCCAGACTCAGGCCTCCAGTCAGAACTTCTCAGTTTTGTGATGGATCATGTGTTTATTGACCAAGATGATGAAAATCAGAGCATGGGTATGTTTAGCTTTTTTCCATAACAGACACAGAAGAAAGGAGAAAAGAGAATTTTCTGATTTGTTTGTTCATATGTTTTCAGAAGTATTCCTACTTTATTTTTGGAAGGTCTCTGTTCTGAAGTTTCTTATATAAGTTGTGGAATATACTTTTATTATATAATAACTATATTTAAGATTTTATCTGTGTAGTTTATTTTTCATTCACAGAGTGAAGTCTTGCATAGGGACTTAATACTTATGGCATTGCCATTCAATATTAATGCTTCTTACAACTGGATTTTACTTCCTGTTGTTCAGAGCCATTGATTTCACATCTGAAAATCCAAGACATGCAGAAGTACTGGTGCTTCTGATTTTTCTTTTGTTAAATATTTATAGCTTAATCATGTTAATGGAGCCTCTCTGAATGCCCTGCATTTGAGAAGTTAAGCAACAGCATTCAGCAGGTGTTCACTGTGGCCTTGCACAGGGTATAGGAAATAAATGACTCAGTTCCATGAGGATTATATTCAGGATCTCCTCAGGACTGTGGTGAGCAGCCTTGGTCAGTGGTGTGTCATGTTCCTAAACTTCCCTGGAAGTTTTGAAGTAGGCAGGACTCAAGACTTATCACCTTTCATTTTACCATCTTCTCCAACAATCCTTCTTGATTCATCTTCAAGAACTGATTTTTTTCTAAAAGCTCCCTTTGATGACATTCTTTGAGAGCTTAACAGTTACTTACAAACATTCTGTTGTTGATGCTTTCAGAGGGAGATGAAGAAGATGAAGCCAACAAAATAGAAGCTTTACATAAGAGAAGAAACCTTCTGGCTGCCTTTAGCAAGCTGATAATTTATGACATTGTGGACATGCATGCAGCAGCAGATATCTTCAAACACTATATGAAGGTACAGACCGTGCATCCTCCTGTCCTGACTGAGCCCAGTCTGCAGTGTTAGGGCTTCTCCTGCCATCCCTGCCAGGACTGTAGTTACAGCCCAGACACTCCTGAAAGCTTTTTCAGCTTCATTTGATCCTGTGTAGTCCTTTTTCCTTTCTAAGTGACACCTGGCACTGAGCAGCAGTGAGCACTGACCTCACCCTCTTTGTAGCACATGTGCTTTATTTAAGGCAGCACCGAAAGCTGATCCTGAGGTGCTATTTCCAGAGAGGCTCCACTCTACTCCACTCTTCCCCTGCTCCTCAGATTCATCTCTAGAATCCCCAATAAGTTACCTGTTCCATGTCATGTTCTACTGTCAGTGTCCCAGGCTTGGAGCTTGCCCTGAGGCAGGAGGGTTCTTGTGAGAGGAGGTTGGTTTACACAGGACAGCAGGAAATAAAGCTCTGTGTGGTTGTGCTGTGAGTGGGTAACAGAGTAACTTCTCAACGTTTGCTGCTTCCACAGAGCTTTTAGGCCCAGTGAAGGTCAGGAGGACCTCAGCTCCTGCTGCCCCAGCACATGGGAGTTTACCTGCCAGAACAGGCACATCAGCAGTCCTGCCACTGACCCCTCAGGTCCTGTCCCTGCAGGGAATTGCTCATCTCAGAGGTGACAATCCAGGGGGAAGAACTGGAGGACAGAGCAGGTCCTTTACTCTAGACACTCTTTGAGATGTTGATGTGAAACATGAAGGGTTCAACTTGAAATTCTCCTCCGTTCATCAGGGACACACAGCACAAGAAAATTCCCAGGACACACTGTAGCCATCAGTCAGGGTTAGTCTTGCTTAGGGATTGTTTGCCAGAGTGGGAGTTTGAAACTGAAGCTGTCACCATCCAGATGAGTTCCCTCCCTGCTGCTCTAGGTTGGGCTTCTCCTCTCCCCATGCCCCTCCTTCTCAAAACTGGGAGAGAGAGGGAAATGTAAATTAGTACCAAAGAAGGCAAAACCAGTATTTTAGAGGCAATGAAAGTAAGTGACTGCAAATGCAGAAATACAAATGAAAGACTACTGTTGGGAAAAAAATTATTCTCAGCTTAGAATTGGTAATGATAATACAGCTTTTCTACCCAGATGGGCAGCACCATAGGCTGTGGCTTTCAGCAACCATTCTGTTAACACAAAGAGAAACAGCACTCCATGTTGACTCATTCCTTACTCCACTTTCTGGCTTCAGTGAATTCCTTTCCCCTCACAGTACAAGGAGCACACACCTCTGTGCTGATGTCTGTTCACACCTGCTTCTTAAGGGGGTGTTGGATCAATGTCATGTTACTGCTTGAAATTGGCAGCCATGGGTCACCTTGATCTAGTGCTTAGTTTGGGGTAGGAAATGCTCCTTTGTTTGGTTTTCAACGTATTTGTTACAAAATATAATAATTACAGAAGTTCCCTACCTTATCACAGAGTTCAGTTTAAATTTTGATACTGAAACATTGCCCCTGGGTTTGAGCAACTGCTGCCTTTTCAAATCAAGAATTGTAAGTAATCTTTCTCTTGGGAAAACTGTAAGAGATTGTATAAGAGATTTGACTTAAAGGTTTGGGTTTTTTTCACATTTTTTCTTAGTACTACAATGACTATGGAGATATCATTAAGGAAACCCTGAGCAAAACCAGGCAAATTGATAAGATCCAGTGTGCAAAGACACTTATTCTCAGTTTGCAACAGGTAAGAGCATTGATTTTTTTTTTTGTTAGAAAAGCCTCAATGCAAAAAAGCCCTGGCCAGGATTTCCTCTGATGCACTTTACAGGGAAGCTGAAATGCTGCACTTCCTTAGGACATTTTCTTCATTTTCCTGCTCCCCAGTTCAGGTTGTCATTGCTCCTTTGTCTCAGTAATTTCTGTTTCCACAGATCCACACTGGCAAAGTTTGGGCAGATAAAAATGGAAGGGAGGGAGAGAAGAGCCTTGGAGCAGTTTGGTCCAAACTGATTCATGGTTTTTATTTATTGATCCCGAGTCAACGAGAAGAATTAGGATGGCTTTTTCTTCTTAGCATTTGCTGAAGTAAATCTTCCTTATACTTTGTCTAAATACTGATGATTTTTTCAGATTTCAAGCTAATTAAGTCTTCCAATACTGTTAGACATGTTTTTTCCTGGAAAAATTTGCTTTACATCAACCATAAATTACTGCCTGGTGATGAAATCTGTCAGCCAACAGCACAAAGTGCACTAAATACCACTTAGGCCCTTGAAGTACCAGCTTATAGCCATTGCACAGAGAAATTAATTCTACTAATTGGATGCTCTCAAATGAGCTGGACCTCCCAAAACTCCTTCCTAAGGGATTTCCTGTAGCAATTGGGAAACTGAGAGAGATCTGTGCAAGCCTGAGATAAACAGATGTATCTCAGAAGAATCAGGGAGTGTCAAACAGCCCCTGTCTGTAGAACTTGGAGAGGAGGAAGCAGGTGCCACAGATCAGTCAGGCTGACAAAACTCAGTGAAAAAAGTAATGAGAGGAGCTCTCTGCAAGTGCCTCAGTGATAGGTAGCAGCCAGTGTGGATTTGTCAAGGAGGAATCCTGTCAAGCTGCTGTCATTAATTACATGGTAACAGAGCTCGTGGAGATGAGAGGAGCAGTTGCTGTAATGCAGCCTGATTTAATATTGTCACTGGGACTGTCTGCCAGGATACTCTCAGCAATCAGTGAGAGACATGGGGTGTAAATGGCAGTGCCAGGAGAGGTGGAACTGGCTGGAAAAGCACTGAGCACTTCAGTACTGTGCTGGGAGAGCCTTGGAGGCAGCAGTGCTGGGCTAACAGGCACTTGAGGCTACAGTGGAGGAGTTGCAGTTTTGATCCCCAAATTCAAAGCACCACCTCATCTGATGGGTAATGGAGATGCTTAAGAGAACAGCATGAGAATGCAGGACCTTCTTGATGAGTTGGGAGAATGGTAGAGGGAATTCAGGGAAGGTGGGTGCAGAATTCCACCAGAATAACTCCACACAAGATGAGGGGCAGGTGGCAAACAGCAGAGGGACAGAAATTCTGGCAAGTGACAGAGACTCTGTCATGTCTCAGTGCAAAAAGTCATTGCGGAGGCCATTCTCAGATGGAGCAGGTTTAGAACCCAAGTCTTTCCCAATAAAAGTGTTTCCCAGCTCACAGATGTCAACCTCTGAACTCTCTCTGCAGCTGTTCAATGAGCTTGTTCAGGAGCAAGGTCCCAACCTGGACAGGACATCTGCCCACGTCAGTGGCATTAAAGAGCTGGCCCGGAGGTTTGCCCTCACTTTTGGCTTGGATCAGATCAAGACAAGAGAGGCTGTGGCCACACTACACAAGTGAGTGGTGGTAAATAAAACTAGATTTTTATACTACTTCAGATTAAAACTCTTGTTTGGCATTCCCTTTCTAAAAGTACATAATCTCAACAGTCCATGGAATAATTATGTATTTTTTTCTGCTTTAAGTGGAGAGGTCTACATGTAGGTAGAAAGGAAACAAGCTAGTTGCTACCTAATTATTTCTTGGAATTTATTGGCATGGCTGTGTTTGTTTACAAAAGGTGGATTGTGTCTAAAAACTGAGGATGGTTCTGCTAAATTTAAATTATGACTTTGCCATGCCATAAAAAAGTTAGTCCTTGAGACCAAGATCAGGATGCACCAGATACTGTTCTCAGCCAGGCAGGAGCCAGGGGACGCTGGTGCCTTGCTGGGTGAGGGAAGGGAGGGACAGTGTTCTCTGTAGTCACACATGACAGCAGAACTGACTGTCCCTGCTCTGGGGACTCATTCTCTGCTCTGGCTGCAGAGGTTGGCTCCTGTTTGATCTGACACATTCCATGGAGCTCCTGCCCCTGGGCTGTACCTTCCCAGTTCTCACACTGGGCAAGGAGCCTCTTACAGGGACTGGCCATGTGCTTATCTGAGGGGGCCCTCACAAATCCACAAGGAACTCTGCATTCCCCTTTATCCAAAAGCAGCTGTTTGCTGGTAATGGGGGATTACCTTGTGATGGGATCTGAGGATAAAAACAGTTTCATCACAGCTCAGATTTGGGGCAACTTGTTTGGTTTCTGGTTTTTTTGTTTGCTTTTTGTTTTTTGGGGGTTTTTTGGTTGTTTTTTGTTGCAAATGTCTGAACATGTTAATATTTCTGTACTGTAGAGATGGCATAGAGTTTGCCTTCAAATACCAGAATCAGAAAGGACAAGACTATCCACCTCCTAACCTTGCTTTCCTGGAAGTGCTTAGTGAATTTTCTTCTAAGCTCCTGCGACAGGACAAAAAGACTGTGTAAGTAATGTTGTGTTTTCTTCCCCGGGCTCTGTTAATCCCTGCAGTGTGGGTTTCAGTTCTCTGCTTTGAGGTTTCTACAGTCTAACCAGGGCTGCAGAAAGTCCCCAGGAGATGTTTCACGTACACAATTACTCATCCTTTTATGTTTTAAAGTAATAAAAATAAACGGGAAAAGAAAAATCAGACCCACTAATGAAGTGAGTTTGACACCTCCCAAAACAACGTTGTTTAAAATTTCTTATGGGGTATTGAAAATAGAAAGTCCTTTTTTAGGCTAGAAGAAATTAAACATTAGCAATGCAGGAGATTTACAGGTTGTCACCACTGCAGCAACAGCTGTTTCTGTTGTATAGTTACATAAATTGTAAACCTATATTTGTTGTTTCTTTTATATACTGGAAGAGGACTCCAGTCAAACATCAGCCAAGCTGATGTTTTGTTCCTTCACCTTCCATGTTGCCATTTAAATTCTTTCTCAAAGGTTCCCCTGCCCACATACACAACCAGTCCTGCTCCTGCAGAACTGTAAGGATTGCTGTGGTGGAATATCTGTACCTGAGCTATTGACTGAATCTGATGATCATGAAAAGAAATAGGTCCTTTAGGGGCTGATTTAGCTGATTTGTGCCAGACTGCTGTGTTGGGATGAGTTCAGCCCTGCCTCAGACCCCACGGGCTGTGGTGACCCTGAGAAGGGTCAGCACAACTTGCTGACATGTAAGGATTCTGTGGAGGTGGCTCCACTCCTGCCCAGAGTGCTCCACTGACAGGACAGGACTGGGATGCTGGGTTTGCCCTTTTCTGTAGCTCCTCCAATCCATAGGGACCTCTCCCCTGCCACAGGGACTGCCTGTGTGCAGGAAGGTCCATGACCACCATCTGCTGGAGAAGTCCCATGTTCAGGATCACTTCCCTCCCTCCTTGCCCAGAAGCCCTCCCCAAACTCAGCTATGGACTCCTGTCTGCAGCCAGAAGTGTTCTGGAGCCTCAGTGTCAGGAACACGAGGCTGCCCAGGTTCTCCAAGCCAAGAATCATCCACCCGAGAGCCTGCAGGTGTCCGGGTGTCCTGACAGGCTCCAGCACTCGCTGCTGTTCCACAGGGCCTCTGCTTCCTTCTGCTGGGCTGCTGTATTTTTTCTCTTGGGCTAGAAAAGGGAGAGGCCTCCAGTTTGGGAGTGAAGCAGCAACACTGATTTAATTTCGTTTTCCCAGCCTATTAATCTGGCTACTCATTTTATGAGTAACCTTCAGAACTGGTGATAGCCATTTATGGATTTATTAAAATCTATGGATTTCACATAAAGCTGTTCATGTAAGGTGCCAGACTCATACAGCTGAAGAAAAAATTTTACTAACGCTCTGTTACAAACTCATTAAGGCAGATACAGGCAGGGAAATCCTGAGGAACTAATGTAGGACAGAATAGAGGAGATTGTCCTTGGAGGCACTTATTTCCATTTCTTTCTCTCAAAGACACAGTTGGCTTAGACTGGACACACTGACTGGTGGGTGTCAGGTGAGGCAGAGCCTCAGTATGGTGTTCTCACTTCTGGAAATTCAGAGTTGGTAAGAACTGCCAGTGTGAAGCTCCCCCAAAATGCTGAGCAGAAAATGTCTCAAGTTTGGCATTCAGGCAGTAAAGAACTCCCAGTGGTGTCATTTTTCTTTTTCACAATTTGGCCATAAACATGCAATCTGGTTCTATAAATACAAACTGGAGGCAGAAAAACTTCTTACTTTCCAAGACTCTCTGCAGATAGATTCTCTAAAGCCATGAAGCACTCAAATGGCGTGGTTGGGTACCACAAAATAGAGAATACACAAAGAATTTCCCATTACTGCCTGGTTTGGGAGTTAATACACACATGAAAAAAGGAAGGAAAGGAATTGACAATATTCAGTAAAACAGTAGACAGGAACCTGCTGTTTCTTGAACAAAGTTACACCATTCATTGAATCAAAACCCTGATGTGATTGTTACCCTCACGTGAGCAGTGTGGCTGCTGGGCTGTGTAACAACTCCAAGCTGCCATGAGCCATCAGAGGAAACCCCTGCCTTCCCATGTGGAATGTGTGGAGTTGACTCCCACTGCTGGCAGCCTGGCAAGGTGGTATTAAAGGAAATTGTGACTGAGGGGTGCAGGAAGTAATGCTAAAGTACCTGAGTTCTTTTATGAAGCTTCTGAATGTTTGGCTCTGTAGCCTGAAACTCATTAGAATCACATTTATGTAGATTTGCATGTTCATTTTAAAGATTACTTCTAATTCCATAATTAAATAATCAATGGAAAAAGAAAACAGTTCCTATGCCCTCCAAACCAGGAAGGAGTTTTTGGTTCCTCCTTTCAGTTAACACATCTGCACTGGGCTTCTCGTGGCAGTGGATCAGGACTTCACATGTTTTATGGAAAAATAAAAGCCTGCATTTGACCAACCGATCTCTCTTGTTCCAGGATGCCAAAGGACATCCTGCATCCTTGCAGCAGTGGCTCTGATGCAGCCTGGCTCCCGACACAGTGGCCATATCCAGGTGTCTGTGGGGAGATTGCTGCACCTCTGTACCCCCTGTGTTTCCTTTCCAGGCACACCTACTTGGAGAAGTTCCTGACAGAGCAGATGATGGAGAGAAGAGAGGACGTTTGGCTGCCGCTGATCTCGTACCGGAACTCGCTGGTGACGGGCGGCGAGGATGACAGGATGTCAGTGAACAGCGGCAGCAGCAGCAGCAAGGCCTCCTCCGTGAGGAACAAGAAGGGCCGACCCCCCCTGCACAAAAAGAGAGTGGAAGGTTCGTGAGGGGCAGGGCTTTGGCATTCTGGACACTCAGGAGAGGGGGGTTTACGGTTCATGCAGAAATACGTGATACATTGTGGATGTGTCAGAACCGAGGCATCTGTTCTGCAGGTTCTGGCAGGCCTGGGAGTGTCTTTAGGGGAAATACCACCACAGCCACCTGTTCTTCTTTGTCTTGACCAAAATTGGCAATCAGAACGGTTAAAAGCTTCCACTGCTGGTGGAAGAGGTGTTTGTGAAGTCACCTGCTCTTTCTCACTCCTGCACTGCTGGGTTTCTGCCTATGGATCCCTCTGGGGAGTTGTTAATTCTCAGGGATTTGGAGCAGATTCCAGGCAGAAATTCTGATAACAGATCTGTGTTGTTGCAGGGCCATTGGGGAACACTAAAAAGACACTATTTTTGTTTAAAATAGTTCTGATGTCTAGTGTTGTCTGCATTTACTCTTTCTGGGACCTCAGATGTGTTCATGAGGAATCTGGCTGTGATAGCAAATCTCTTACAAGGCTGCATCTGTTCCTGGTCAATCTGTGTGATGTAACGTGGACTTTTGTGAATACTGATTTGTTGTTCCACTCTATACAGTAGATGTAAGTGGGATCTTAAACCTCAGGGCTTTTTCAAGGTATCTATGACAGTAACCCCTCAGTAAGGAATCAAGTGCCTATTTGCCTGAATACAGCAATTTCCCAAAATATTCCTCCAAAGTTTTCCCATACAGCCTGGTCCATTCTCCACTGCAGCTCGTGTTGTGCAGTCCCTGCACCAAGTCCTGTGGTTTCTCACAGCCAACCTCCAGTGTAGGTACATAAAATAACTGGCTCCTTTCTTCAGGCACTGTTTTTCTTCTTTCAGGATGCCAAGATTTTCACAAAATTCAGCAACTGAGGTTTTCTTTCTTCTTGTTGCCATTTTCATTTTCATTCTATTCTACTGTATTATATATATGTATATATATATATTTAACCCTGGGAGGTGTAGTAGCATCTTTGTGTCCCAGTAAGGCAAATCTCAGGCTTAAGATGTAGTTTCCAGGCTTTGCTTACCTCCTACTCTTTTGTGTCACCCTCTTTCAGTGATCAGTAGAAAGGTGAATTGATTTCCAACACTTTCCATCTGAGAATCTCTTTTTTTTGTTTCTTTAATTTCCACTCAAAAGTATCTAGAACAGGAGAAAGGTCACTACAGAAATTACTGTGGCATCAAAGAACCATATCCAGTCCCCTCTGGTTCCTTTCTCACCTAAATCCAGCACAGACTGGGTTGGAGAACATTCCCTGTTGCTTCTGAGAGGAAACGTGCTCTGTGACACATGGCCTTAAGAAAATCAATAGGTTTTTAAAAAATAATCCCTAACATAAAAGTGCTTCAAAGGTAGATTTGAGAATAAATAGGCAGCTTTTAAGATAACATTTATGCCTAAAGGGTAGGAAAAGGCAACAGAAGAATGAACAGATCCATGGAGATCCCCATCTATTTCTCTCACCTCACATTTCCTGTTAGTAAATCTGTGATCTTGTCATCTCTTGTCTTTCACTCCACGAACTGAATTTTTTTCTATGTGTCTCTGGCTGCAGGCTTCCTGCTCAAACCCATTCTCAAGTCCTCCCTCTTCCCTCCTCTCTGCTTTGTTCCCTTCCCAACATAAGCACAGGATCCCAGCTGGACCTTCAGTCATCTTTATCTCATTTTTATCACTGAGTAAAGTGTCCCTTCCCTGCTCCACTCCAGTGGTTCTGACAATTCTAAAGATCTGGACTGACCAGATTTCGGGGTACTTAAAAATAACCTTGTCTTGGTTGCTGTAGGTGCATGAGATTACCAGTCTCCAATTATAAACCCAGGAATTGGGAGTTATTTGGTTGTTTTTGTTCAAGATAGCCAGCAGCTGAGGCTGTGCTGCAGTATGACTTTGTTTGCAATGGAGTTTGTGTGTGTTCCCTTTAAATTGTTGTTATTGCTGGGAATAGAGTAGTAATATTTAAAAGAACAGAATCTAAAATTAGAACTTAAAATCTTATCATTCCAAGCATTTATCCAGGTGATCCCTTAGTGCACACTTGTTTGAATGCTGCCCTGCATGTGGTCAGAAATTAGCAGTGATTTCAGTGTTCTCTCTCTAGATGAGAGCCTGGAAGGCTCCTGGCTGAGCAGGAATGAGAACATCCATACTCCAGGGACACTGCAGACACCTCAGCTCACCTCCACTGTCCTGAGAGAGAACACCAGACAAATGGGAGAGCAGATCCAGGAGCACGAGTCGGAGCAAGGATCTGAACAGGATTTTTTACACAAGTAAGTGTTGGAATTTCAGCATCAAATACAGTCAGCCAGGCAAAGGAATTTTTTGTGGCTTATAGTGAAGTCTTAGCCTGTGGCTCCAGAGATGCCAGAGTGTTGATTTGCAAAGCCACCTGGAAATGTCTTGACTACAGCTCAGCAATACTTGGATTATCTTCAGGTCCCAGAAAAATATGTTGTAATGAAATAATAGTAGAAATTCCTCATGTTAAAATTATCTCATAGCATAGCCATGCAGTTCTGGTTAAATCCTCCTAGTGCTTGTGTCCCAGGCTGGGTGGAACTGTTTCTTTGGAAGACCTGCAGATACTCTCTTTTCTTTCCCCCTGCCTGATATCAGATAAGGTTCTCCAGACACCCTGTTTTTTTCTAAATTTCCAGCTGCTGAGCTAGTAATTCCTGATTTGGGGTAACTGCCCTAAATTATATGTTCTTTTTGTCCCTTTGCTCACATTTCATCACCTCCGTTTGGAGGGCAAACATTGGTTCTTTTCTGTCAGTGGTTGTGTGGCTGTGGGTGTTGCCAGCAGGTGCTGCCAGGATGCAGCAGGTGAGAGTGACCCTGGCTGGACACAGCAGCACAGCCCAGGCAGAGCCCAGGTCACATCTTCCCAGAGCATCTTTCCTCCTTGATCCCACAGCTAGGGAGGGCTGTGCTCATGGCTGCTGTTTTCCCGTGGGTTATCCCAGTTTATCCTGTCAGTCTTATTAGGGTACAAGGGTGCATAGTACAATAAAACCTGGTGCTGCTCCAGAAAAGCTGCACAGAGTTTGCTGCTGTTTCTTTGTGCTGCATCACACAAATTGAAGCAGAGGCAGTGCTGGTTGGTGGCATCAGCAGTGCAGTCTGGAAGGTATTTACACATTGATGAAGTACTGGCCCTTAAGTTGATCAGGGTATTTGTGTAAAAACCATTTGTTTTTCATGTTGTGTGACATTTTTGTCAGTTACAAATTTGGATGCATTCTTGCTTATATTTTGGCTCATCTGACACAGTGAAGTACTATTTAATAATAACAAACTTTAGAGATGCTCTCACTCCAGTTGCCTGCCCCTAAGGAAGGAGCAGTGGCAGTGTTTCCATACCTGCTTTTATTGCAACACTTAATTGATTTTTTTGTGCACATACAGTGAGAGGAGAGAGACTGTGGAAGAGAATCCAGAAGATCTGTACAATGATGGATGAGATTTAATTATCCTAATCTGAAGCATGGCCAGACACAGAACTTGGGAGATAGAAACTGGCCCAGAATAGGCAGCTCAGAACTGTTACTGATGTTGGTCCTAACTTACTCCCTGTGTGTCAGTCCCCAGATGCAGATCTCGTGGCTGGGCCAGCAGAAGCTGGAGGATCTCAATCGGAAGGACAGGACAGGAATGAACTACATGAAAGGCAGAAGTGGCGTAAGGCACGCAGTGTAAGTGCTCACAGCCTGCTGCCCTCAGCAGGACACCACAGTGATTTAAATGTTACCTTTCCTGCTGGTTGCCAGTCCCTTCTGTGCCATTTCACCCTTGTGGAGAAGGCAGAGGGACTGTTTGTAGTGCTGGGATGGATCCAGCCCAGCACTGCCATTCTCTGACTGTGGCCAGACACCAGACTCAGTGACAGGGTGCAGTTCCCCGTTCCTCTGTCCCAGCCTTCAGTTGTTTCCATGTCAGAGGGGTTCCATGATTTGTGTGCTGTGTCATTCCCTCTGAGCTCTTCCCACCACCTGTTCCTGTGTCTGCACCCTCCATCCTTTTTTCCCAAGGTGTCTCCCTGTGCAGTAATGGAGGGAACACACGTGGGTGAACACTGGTGCACCACATGCTCTGTGCTGATCCCACCGAGTCCTTCAGCACAGGGGCTGGAATCTTCACAGTCTTTGGAACTGGGCTTGAAGGCACTGCTGGAGTCCCAGGGCTTTACCAGTGATCCTGGCAAACAGTGTCACTCCTCCTTGGTAAAAGGGCAGGCAAACACAAGAGGAGTTACTGCCCTGTTCTTGTTGAGCACAACTTGAATTATGGTCAAGGTGCTGTCAGTGGGACTTGCTGCTTTGGCTTGGACCAGGGCTTGGGGAGGAAAGTTTACCTGCAATTTGCCTCCTGTTGATATTCCAGAGAGCCTGTTGGCTTTACCCTCAGCATTAGGATTTGAGTGAAGGCATTAAATGATAGGACTTGAGCATCCTTTTTAATTACAGAGATCAGGGCTGGGAAGTTTTTCTGCCTGGAAATGACTCTGTCTTTGTTTCATCAGACGAGGTCTAATGGAAGATGACGCTGAGCCCATCTTTGAAGATGTAATGATGTCCTCACGAGGCCAGCTAGAGGACATGAATGAAGAATTTGAGGACACAATGGTCATTGATCTGGTCAGTAAATCTTTTCAATGGCAAGTTTAAAACAGTTGAAAACGAATTTAAAAGCAATTTTAGAAGTGTAAACAAAAATTTCCAAAATTTTGAGCCTGGCCTCCAGTTGTCTTAATGTTAGAGTGGACATGATGTGAGCACCTCCCAGAGCCCCAGCTGCAGGCTCGAGCCCAGTGGCTTTGTTCCAGAGCCACAAGGAGCATTGCTTAGTGCTCCTTCTCCCTGAGACTGTGTCCTTGGGCAGCTGCAGGCAGCAGCACCATCACACACCTGGGACTTGTAGCCCACAAGGATCAGCTTATGACTTACAGGCTGTGCTAACATGGCTCTATGCAGCCATAATGTTCAGACTGGCACAGCCAAAGGGTCCCCTCTTTCCCTTTCCTGGTCAATTTGGTTTTCAGGAGGTGGATCCTTACTCGAGGTCTCAGTAGGTCCCAGCCAGAGTCCTGCTGGCACAGTAGGAGGGAGCACAGGCACTGGTGTGTGGGTGGGAGTTCCTTAAGAATTGCTCCCAACCAGGTCCCATTATCAATGGCAGGCTCAGTCCCTTCCAGTACTGCACTGACTACTGGGAGAAGTTCCTTGCAGCACTTAAAACCTTACCTGGCCTCTTTTCTGGAATGACTGTTCCCCTGTAAAATGGGATAAAGGAGCAGTTTAGTTTACACACCTCACCATTTTTATGCCTTTCTGTTTCTCCTTTCCCATCCAAACAACAAGCCCTAGGTTATATTAGGACTGAGCTATAGTCCAATAAGTACTTACTTATCAAGTACGTAACATCCAAGGCAAGGAAAGGAAGGAATTGATCAAGCCAGCGAGGCTCACATTTACTCTTGTGCTCCTGGGGAAGGAAACCACCAAGGGTTTAAGCCTCAGAAATATTTCAATATCTTCAGCACCCTTTTTTTGATAAATCCATTTTTTACCGTATCAGAGCTCAAGTTTCACTATGAACTTAAAGCACAAAGACATTTATGTCAGAAAGAACCTTGGTTAAGTCCTTAACTATGAGCACAGAGTTAGAATTAGAATCCATCAGCTTTTACCCCTTTCTTTCAATAACAAAGAACTGAGGGAGTGCTGTACTGTATCAGGCCCACCTTTGGGCCAGAGGTTTTGTGGCACTGGAGGGAAGGTGAGGGGCAGGCACAGGTGGCCCTGTGGCCAGCAGGGCTCCCTGTGCCCCGTGCTGTTCCAACTCCCGTGTGTTGCAGCCGCCGTCGCGGAACCGGCGGGAGCGCGCGGAGCTGCGGCCGGACTTCTTCGACTCGGCGGCGATCATCGAGGACGATTCAGTAAGGCCTGGCTCGCTGTGCTTGCTTGGAGCTCTGCTCTTGTCCCGCCCCGTGTAACCGCTGTCTTTTCCCCCCTTTTCCAGGGATTTGGAATGCCCATGTTCTGAAGTCTGGCGAAGACCTTTTACAAACTTGGAACTCTATTGTTTAGAGCTAGAGGCCTATATACTGTGATAGCTTGTATGAAAACCACATTTTTGATGTGATACGGTTTGATTTTTAACCAAATGATTGAGGTCAACCCCTTGGTGTAGTGACGGAGAGAAGAGGAGCTTCTTAATGACACACGGGAATGTTGGCCAATCCAGTCACCTCAGAAGGGCTGACCTAAAAAATCATTTGTATCCCTGTTCTTGACTGTCCTAATACGGATTTTTTTTTTCTGGATGAGGAGGAAGTTTTAAATTGTTAAGACAGCTGTCAAAATAAACACTGTTCTACATATGTTTTCTGAAAACAACATTGAGTGAAAACAGAACTTTTTAACTTTATTTTTCTGCTGTACAATTTAAAACAGTTTTAACATTTGCCTTTTTATGTTTTCAAAGCTAGCCATTTTTATTAAACCTATGCCTATCAGCCACTGACTAGCAAGGCTGCTGTAAGCAGGTCGTTCTGGCTACGGAAAAGTGTTTTGGAACACACTGGATTTGATTAACATTATGGTACGCTTATGTCCTCTCATAGGCATGGAGAAAAACACTCTCAGAGAAGAGGTTAGAATTCTAATGACGTGCATCTCTGCCAAAAAATTTCAGATTCTGATATGATAAACCCAGATTTTATACTCTTGAGAAGATTTATTTTTATTTATAATGGGACATAAAGTAAGAGATGTCCATGAAGCCACTTTTCCAACAGATGCTGTGTAACATTCATTTTATATAGCACATGGGGACACAAAAACAGTAAATTTTCTATTGGTACTTGCTCTGTGCATTTTTAGCAACTTATACCAGCAAATAAAGTATTCTCAGTAAAACACACAAACGGTTCTCAAGTAATCACTTTGCTGTTTTTACTACCTACTTCAAGCCTGCCAACACAAGGTACATAAACAGCAACTTTCCTATTAAAAAAAAAACTAGTTCAAGGGTGGGGGAAAGGATCACTTTAGCATACTAAAAGTAATTTTAACTGTACCATAAAACAGAGTCTACTTTCCATGCCGTAAATACCCTTTTTCGCTATTTTTGTAAATTAATTTTGCCAGTTAGAAGTACTGTATGTGCTGCATAGAAATTTGTGCTTAGATGGTGAAGTTCTTAAGCTTACAATGGAATACAGCTACATTTTCAGTGTTAACTGTGCATATTGAGAGTAATTCTTTGGAAAAAAATATGATTTTTCAAAAAAGTTAAAAACATGAAAAAAAATTCCAGAAAACCCCAAAACATTCTCAGCCAATTCATTGTACTAAGATATTTTTCAATGTCTTCAATAATTTGGAATTTCATTATGCTTCAATTTTATGACTCGATGTAGTAGCTGCTCCTTACCCAGCCTGGGCTGGCACCAGCAGTGCTGGCCCTCCACAGCTCCAGATCTCCAACAATTGGACCCAAAACGTTCATCTTTCTGCACTCAGCAGCAGTTGAGATACAAAGCAGACTGACCCACTTGGAGCACAGCAGTTTCAGAGGTGCTTTAGTTTTAGCAACTGCAGCATAATCATGGAGCTTTTTTCTGTTTCAAGCTTACTGGACACCAGCCCAACCCCTCAGTGCCCAGCGTGGGCAGGGAAAGAGCCCAAATTCACCCAGCCCAGCACCTCACCCAGCTGAGCTTGGCTCTCACAACACGTGCAGTTCTCAGACACGGTTGCCAAAAATGTTTGACCAGGTACTTCAGCCATTCCTTAGGGTGGGTTGGGGATGTATTGATCCCCAGAAGTAGCTGGAACTTTATAAACCCTGTTACCTCCCTCTGTGCACCCCCACGGCCTGGGGGCAGGAATGGCTGCAGGACCTGTCCCAGGATCACTCTGTGAGCATGGTGGCACAACAGATGCTGCCCAGTTTGAGTCAGAGTCTCAGACAAACCTTGTGCTTCACAGTCCTCTGTGTGGAAAACGGATTCCTAATTTAACATTGTAGAATACTGTATAACAAACATTTATTATCATGGTACCTGCAATGGGTCTCCAGTTCAGTTTGCAGTCAATAGGTTTTTGTATTATGAGTGTCTCCTTGATTGGTTTTGCTAGTAATTCTGTAAATTGTACATTTACAATATGAGGTTTTTTTTTTCCTTTTGTACAATTTAAAACTGATGCTTCACCTTTCATTTAATAAACTATTCAAAATCATGAGTATGATGAGCACCCTCTTCACTATAGTTTTCTTTTAAGTGCTTGTTTGCACCATCACATTTTGCTATCTGATTTAGTAGTAGGAATTCAAAGAATTATTAAAGGCAAAACTGACAGGTAGCTTTCATGTAGTTCAGGCTTCACAACCAGACCTGTACCCCACTTCCCTTACCCACTCAGCCTCAAGAGTGATGGAAATTCTCTGGGCTTCTTTCTCCCCTCCACCATGGTGTGGTTTGGTTGTGGGGGGTAGAGGGGTGGTTAATGTGAGATTGCTGTAAATCTGGGAAGGCCCCACACACCAGGTGCAAAAGCTGCACTGCCAGAACTTACAATTTCTTGAATTGCTACAAGGTTTGAGAAGAATTTCTCTCTTCTGCCCCATACGTCTGAAGTGACCTGGAGTCTGTGGGAAGAAGCTGCCATGGGAAAGGCTTGAAAGCTCTACCAGCCAGCTGGGCTAAATGAAGTTTCACAGATTCCTGAAACAAAATGTCCACGTTACTCCCGTGTCTCAGGGAGCAAGGTGCTGTTTTTGTCCAACCCATGAATGGTTTCATCTCTGTAATGCTAAAGAAAACTGACTGGTTTATCACCTGGCCCACTTCCTAAGGAAAAAATCACTGGAGTCAGGAAGAGGAGCAAGATGCAGCAGCTGAGGCACAGGGATGATTCAAAGTCTCAACTACTCCCAAGACAGAGCCTGAAAGCTCAGTCTCCAACTGTTTGTAAGTTATGGGAACTCTTACTGCACTGAGGAACACAGTAAGTGACTTGTCTTGGTGCTAAGTTCAAGGGCTGCACAGTGTTGAAAGGATTTTATTTTGTACCTCTTGTTTTTTTAGGTGACTGGACTTCAAGGAAATTCTCAGAAGCCTGGTCAGAGCAGCTTTCGATCCCTTTTCCAACGTCTTGATAGAGCAATTGCCTGTTTGGAAACTGAGAGGATCTAAAAGCCCAGTTCTTGTGCTGGCAAGGGATGGGAGAGAGGATGGAGTCTTTAGCAATACTGAGGTTAGGAAACAACTAACAAAGCTGTACTTTCCTGTTTATGACAAGTAGGTTTCACATGGAGTGTCTCTTTCTGACTCTGGGCAGGCTGAAGAAGCTGTGTATGTATCCCTTCAATATCACAGCTTCAGCCTCTAAACCAGCTTTACCTTTGGAAAATTTTCTTGGAAAATTATAAACTCTTACAGTTTGCTCAGAGTTAATTAAGAACTCCCACCATGGCCATGACACCCAACACAGTAACATTTCTATTTACCTTCCTCTGTTGCTGCAGCCAGCTCTGTTCCCTGGGACAGCACCAGGAGCCTTTTCCTGCTGAGGCACAGTCATGTAGGATCATGCAGCTCCCCTGAATGTGCTGCAGCCAGCACAGCCATTGTATGTCTGCAACCTGAAGTGCTGCCTCCCATGCATCCAAAAACATGGGGAGCTGGGACTCCTACTTGAAATGCTCCTTTTATATTTTGCTTTTAGATGATGTTCAGCTGTTTCTTCTTCCCCCCTAGGTCGAGGCTCCAAGCTCCACAGCTCTACTCACTGCACTTTCCTGGGAAGAGAAGCTACCTGAGAGATGGCCGTTCTACCTCTCTCCTCCATGCTGGAGAGTGAGCAGCAGAAGCTGCAGTGCAGCTGGGAAGGCTCTGTCACACAACAAATGTGAGTTACTCAGAGCAGCCAGGTTACTGCAGCCCCTCCTGTGCCTGGCAGCTGGTGCAGCAGCACTGAATGTGACCATGGCTGTTTCTCACTGCCTTGGGGCTGGAGGAAGTTGCAGCTTCTACTGAGCAGGTGAGCACAGGCCCAGGGCTGATGAGAGTAACACCTCCTCAAGTGGTTCCTGGCCAGGCTGGCAAATAATCCCAGAGAAAGGCTGGAAGGGGTCTCTGGAGGTCTCTGTTCCAGCCTCTGCTGAAGGAGGAGGGTTTGCATGTCCCACCAAAACTGCCCTTTTTTGTCTACTGTCCTTAAGAGGGGGCTGGCTGTGCCCCCCCTGTGCCACCCATCTCTGTCCTGGGGCTCTGAGATCCAGCTGCTGCAGCCAGCAGGGAAAAGCTGCCACAGGCCAGACTAACAGAGGAACAGAACAACTGAGTCCAGGATCAGCAGGGCCTGGTCTCCAGTGCACTGGAACCCAAGCTCACGATTTTCCTCTCAGAGTCAGTGGTGCAGGAAGTGGAGTCAGACTCCAAGGTCTGTCACTAATGGATTACCCTTGAACTCCCCAGGGGTCCAACTTCCCAGCAGTGGGAGGTGGCTCAGCCCTGCCTGAGCCACCTCCAGGGCCTATGGAATGAGGGAGCCAAGGGAATGTTTCACCTTGAGCAATTAGTAACGGCTCACCTGCAGCAGGTAGGGCAGGGTGTGTTGAGTATTAACAACGAAGAAAGGGTGAGCTAGTCAGACCCCCAAATTAAATATATACTATGATTTATTGATGATTATTGGCAAAATCAAAATGAAAATAACTATTTCTGTTGCCAAACAGACCTCCATTGACCAGAGAGTTAATCAGAACTCATGTTCAGGATGTCTCCCAGCATGGGCAGCCCCTGCTCACCCTCACAGTGGGATGTTGGCATGTTTCTTCCAAGGACTGGACTGGGATTTACTGGCCAGCACGTCGAGGTCATGGCAGATGCGTGTGCGGGTGGTCGAAGGCTGGATGATGTCATCAACAAACCCTGCAAAAGATTAAAACAAAAGAAACCTCAACCTGAGCAACCATGAAGTATTTGCCTCCCAGCCTTCTGTGTCTAGGCTAACCCATAAGTTAGCAAAATCAGAACAATGGTTAGAATAAGTAAGTTCACAAGTTATAAATTAACTAAATTTTAAAATAGCCTGAGAAGGAAACATTCCTGAGTCAGTCTTTAAATTTTGAATATAACTTGCCTTTTAGAGTACAGTTACTGCTCCAAAACTGGAAGTAAAAACAGTGGAAAAATTTGCTCCTGAGAGTTCTGGAGAACATAACTGAACTGAGCCCTACTCTTTCTTCAGGCTTTGTGTCTAGGGCTGTATAACAGACTGGCAAAGCACCTATGCTATAAAGGAAAAGGCTGAATTTTGAGACACTTTCTACTATTTACACAATTGAAAATGCACTTCACAGAGCAGTCCCCACTTTTCACCAGGCTCTTTGCAGCTGAAGATGTGTCTTGTGTCCAAATATTGTCCACATGCACATGCTGTGGTTAAGCATCACCCTTCTAACTCAGACACAAGTAACTTAATTGTTAGCAAAAGATTTACTCAATAGCACAACTTTATCTGCATGCAGTGGGAAGCCAAATGGGAACACAGTGTGGCAGACAACCATACCTCTCATGGCAGCAGGGAAGGGGTTTGCAAACTTATCCACGTACTCCTCCTCTGCATTCGCCTCCTTTCCTCTGAAGATGATCTGCACAGCACCCTGGGAGCAGAGAGGCTCAGGTCAGTGACAGTCCCTCAGAACTCTGGGAGCATCCCCCGTGCCTGCAGCACCAGGACAATCCATGGTGCTGGCAGGGCACTGGCGCAGCACAGTGAGAAGGGCCTGGACTCACCTTGGCTCCCATCACGGCCACCTCGGCTGTGGGCCAGGCATAATTCACGTCTCCTCGTAAGTGCTTGGAGCTCATCACGTCATAGGCACCCCCGTAGGCCTGTAACACAAACCAGGACATCCACTCCAGGAGTGGCCTGGCAGCAGCAAAAGCCTGCATTGCTCCTGCAGCTTCTTCTAGTCCAGACACAAGCAGCTGGGACTGGATTTTACCTGAAGGAGAGCATGAGCGTCTCCACTTTGTGGCAGCAATCTCCTAGGAACAGACACCACTTCCACTAGAGCCCCAAAAGAGCAAGGAAGGGGGTTGCTGGTGGTAACCAAGCTCATTCTGCAAGGCAGGCAGGGACGGGTCAGTGTGTATCCAGACCAGCAGGCCTCGACCTGCACCCTGCACATGCACACAAACCAATCAGGCAGTGTGCTTCTGGAATTTCCTGGCCAGGAAATGCAGCACTCAGGCTCTGCAGTGCTCCACTCTGGAACTGGAAATGCTCCAGACAGCAGTGATGAACAGATACTGCAGGACTGCAGAGCACACTGCAGTGCAGTCCCTGTCAGGGCAGTACTGAACAGTGCAGTAAGGCTGCAGGATTGACAAGTACTGCATGAAAATACTCAGAACAGTCAGAGAAGGCAAAGGAACAGAAAGTTCTTTTTGAGTTTTGCCATGATAAGCCAAAAGTACATCAGAAAAATGAGCAGGAGGGGCAGAGCAGCAAAGAGAAGGCTAAGGCTGTAAGGTGCCAGCACCAGAGCTTATGGCAGTAGGGTGTCTCAGGTACCTTATGGAGGAAGGAAGATGAGGTAGAGCATAGCAGAAGTCTGGGGAGCGAAAGAAGCCACATGAGTGTTCAACCTGCAGACACAGCAGAAGACAGATGCAGCCAGTGCTGGGTTTGCAGAGGGAGGCTCAGGAGGCAAGACAGGAGAAAGCAGAATTGCTGCAAACAGATGGCATGTTCTTAGTAAGACAGGCTGGGTGACATGGGACAAGTACTTGAGTGAAGGCATTCCAGACAGAAAGCAGGGAGCAGAAACTGAAAGTTCAGAGGGGTACAGAGACAAGTGGAAGGAAGAAACAGAGGTAGTGGCCTGGGAATAGAAGAAGTGGCCCCTCATAACGTTATACAAAGAGGTGTTACCAGATGGGACAAACAGAGATGTGACAATGATAGCACCACTGGGACAGACAGACAAAGCTTGGTTTAACTAAAATTGCCACTAGTGGAAAGAGGAACTCTGGAAGACCTCCATGGAATTTGCCAGCTTACCTTTCTGGTAATGACAGTGATCTTAGGCACAGTTGCCTCTGCAAAGGCAAAGAGCAGCTTGGCACCATGACGTATAATCCCACCGTACTCCTGAGCCGTGCCTGCCAAGGACAAGGAATTGATTCACTCCAGGGAATTCACACAACCCCATCATCTGTCACCAG